TCATTTGTTTGGTCATTGATGAGCTAGACACTGTAGATATTATTTGACACATCGATTGACTACCTTAGGTTTCCCATCAGTTTGGGGATGATATGCGAAACTCATTTTAAGTTGTGTCCTTGACCTCTTGAAAAATTCCTTCCAAATGTTGCTTATAAATATAGGGTCGCGGTCAATTATGATGGAACGTGACAACCATGGAACTTGACTACTCTGTCAATGAATAGCTCGACCATTGTTTTTGCTGTATAAGGGTGAGTTAAAGCGAGAAAATGAGTATATTTTCTTAAACGATCGACAACTATTAGGAGTGTATTTTTGATGTTGGGGTAAGGGAGCCCTTCGATGAAATCCATGGTGATGTCGTCCCATACTTGACAAGGGATTGACAGTGGTTAGAGCAGGCCAGCTAGGGAGAGAGTCTTTTACTTGACTCATTGGCATGTTTCACAGGCTAAGACATACTCATATATAGTTTTTCTCATTAAAGGCCAGTAGAACTGTTGTGTCAGCCTTTTGTAGGTTCGTAGTACTCCAGAGTGGCCTCCTAGGGGTGAGTCATGGTATGCCTTCAAGAGTTGGTGTACCAAGTAGGACCCAGGAGGAATAATTACAAGATACTTGTAGAAGTGTAATCTGTTCTTTTGATTATAAGGTTGTTTAGGTTGTTTGTTGGCAAGGTCATTGACTTTCTGCATGTAAGGGTGTGTCTGAACTTCCTTTTTAATGTCATCTCATAATTGTGTTTGCTGAATAAATAAGACACTTAGTGTTGGTCCTGTAATGTGACGGGATAAGGCATCTACGGCTACATTTTCTTTCCCTGACTTGTATGTAATCTCATAATTATACCTAAACAACTTGGAAACCCATTTATGATGCTCTAGTGTTGTGATATGCTGCTCGAGCAACTACTTGAGACTATGTTGGTATGTCTGGATGAAAATTTTGTGACTCAATAAGTATGGTTGTAAAGTTTGGACTGCGATGAAGACGACTAACATTTCCTTGGCATAAATTGACTGGACCTGTTTGGATACCCCCAGAGCTCGACTGAGGTAGGCTATTAGCTTCCCTTGTTGTGAGAGGATGACACCTATTCCATCATTTGAGGCATCAGTCTCAATAGTGAAGGGCTCATTAAAGTTGGGAAGAGCCAATGTAGGAGTGGAAGTCATTGTTTGCTTCAGTTTATTGAAGGACTCTTCAGCCTCTGAATTTTAATTAAACTGCCCTTTCTTGAGTAATTGGGTCAATGGTCTTGTAATAAGCCCATAGTTCTGCACAAATTTTCTGTAGTAGCCTGTCAAACCCAAAAACCCTCTTAGTTCTATCACATTGTTGGGTGTGGGCCAGTCAAGCATGGCTTGAATCTTGATGTGATCTATCTTGGCTCCTTGCGGTATGATAATGTAGCCAAAGTACTCTAGTTCTTGTTGACTTTACACACATTTTTTTGAGTTTGATGAAGAATTTGTGATGTCTCAAAATCTCAAGTACTTATCGAATGTATGATAAATGTGAGTGTCAATTAGGACAGTAAACTAGGATGTCATCAAAAAATACCAGTATAAATTGACGCATATAAGGTAGAAAAATATAATTCATAACTGCTTGAAATATAAATGGTGCATTACACAATCCAAAAGGCATTACCAGGTATTCATAGTGTTCGTTGTGTGTCCGAAAGGCTGTCTTGTGGACGTCTGGCCCATGCACACGAATATGATGGTATCCTACTGTTAAATCTAACTTTGTGAAATAAGCTGCTTCATGCAACTCATCTAACATATCTTCTACTGTAGGAATAAGAAACCAGTCTTTGATGATAACTGCGTTGAGTGCCCGGTAGTCGGTATAAAAATACTATGTACCATTTTTTTTTACTAAGAGAACTAGTGATGAAAAAGGACTGGTACTCGGGCGGATGAGACCAGAACGGAGCATTTCAGCTACCTGCTTTTTAATTTTAGCTTTCGAAGATAGGCATACCAGTAAGGACAGACATTGACCGAGTTGATATCCTCCTTTAAACGGATCTGGTGGCTTACTTCCCAGGCTGGTGGCAGCTGATCTGACTCCTAGAAAAGCTCTGAAAACTCTTCCAACAGTAGCTGGATTTCTGGCCGATCAACAACTATGTTCTCTCTATCTGGGCAATAAGCAAACAACATACAAAGAGTGTTTGCCAATTTCTTCCTGTCCATTCTTCCAATTATCACAAGTTGGATGGGTGGTGCACTAGGCTGTGCAAAAACCACGGCTGACTGTTCCAATGGAAGGCCATGGTAAGATCCTTTCTAGTTGTAGGCGACTAGACCCAATGATTTTAGCCACTATACTCTAAGACAACATCGAGACCGTTAAAGGTAAGAAAAAAGAGTGAGGGGAAAAGAGATACTTTGAATGTGCATCAGTACGTCGACGAATCGTCCTTAACATCGCATGGGACTCCCATATGCTATTTTGATAGAGAAAGGTTTTGTGGGCATTATGCCTCAATCGACTGGCCAAATTTTCATTAATAAAATTGTGTAGAGCCACTGTCAATGAGGGCAATAATGGGTTGTTGCCGAATCGTGGCCTCGACTCTCATGGTGCGGGCAATAGCCCAACCGGTGAAGGCATGTAGCGAGATTTCAAATTCACCAACTTTTGCCTCTTCGTCTTTGCTCTGTCCTCCTTCAAGTAAGAACAGTTGTGGCTTTTATTATTAGTGGCCCACGGTGAATTGCTCATTTCAATTAAAACATAAGCTCTGGATTCGTCGATGTTGTATTTCTTTCCAAGAGAGATGCTTTGGGGGCATAACAGTGGAAAATAGGACACATGAGGCTTACTTGGGTAAGGACGAAACGGGTTGTACTTGCCCCGTTTAGTTTTATCTATTTTGTCGACCCACTTGTTCTTCTCGAACGCGAGCCAGCCCAATGGCATCCTTTAGTATTTTGGATTGTAACATGCAGATATCATCTGCGATCTCTAGTTTGAGCCCACCCCATGAAGGCCCCAACTAAGGCCCGTTGAGTCCATTCGTGGACCCTATTGCCCAACCACTCGAAGTCCCGCTGGTAGTCCCTTAAGGGCCCTCTTCATATGGGTCTTCAAAGTCCCTTGGTCTGAACTGAACCCATAATTCTTCCACAAACCCGGTCCAGGAGATCTCCCTTCCTTCATCTTTGTAGGTGCAATTCACCCATTGCCACCATTGGTTGGCCTCACCCTCCAGGTGGTAAGATGTCAAAGCCACCCAAAACGGCGCGATAATTCCTTGGAAATTGAAGTACCTACTAGCTCGACTCAGCCACTCGGTTGGGTCTCTTCAGAAAAAGGTAGGGAACTCCAGCTTAGTTGTTCTGGGAAAGAAGGGGGCCCACCCAATATTGTTGATCGCAGGGTTGGGGTATGGTGGATTGACATGCAATACCCAGTGGTTGCTGAAGCCTTCTTGTAAGGAGACGATTGCTTCTGTCAATCGTTGTAGATTTTCTTCGATGGCTCAGAGTTTGTCAACTGTGCCAATCTCCATTTGGCTAACTTGGTCTTGTAAAGCACTGAGACCAGTTTCGAGATTCTTAATACGTTCCTTGTTAGATGTCATTTTAGCTAAGCTCTGATACCACTGATAAGTCCCAGTCAGAGCTTCACACTCAACTAAAGTTTTCTACTTTAGACGAGAAAAGACCAAAAAAAATTTTTAGATTTCTTGACTGTTTTATTGAAGAATGTTGAGGCCTTTAAATAGGCATGAGTACAACTGACTGAAAAATCTTAGATAAGAACAGAAGATACAAGTAAATCAAAAGGAATTCAAAAAAACAATTGCTGGTGCTAAAATTCTAGAGTGGATAGTAGCTCGTCCATGATTTTTGGGTAGATTTTTTCATCTGTTTGT